AAATAAACCATAGGTATTAATTATTGTTATAATAATTCATAGTAGTATTTAAAAACATGTTCCATTATAGCTACTACACAGATTTCAGATTTTTAAGACAACCTTTTTTACAAAACATATCACTATGCATACGCAATATCATCACACATATTAGGTCATTTGTGTTATTTTACAAGTGCGTTTAGAAGAGCTTAAAAGTTATAACATGTTCATGCGGAAAACAAGATATTGTCACGCGATAACCGAACAGCGGTGCCCTAGATTCCATATATTATGTATTATTTATTATTGTAGGTAATCACATTTTCTGTCGATGCAATGTCGTATCCTATTATTATAAGGAGTGATACCATGAGTGGTAGTTTCAATGTATCATTTAGGTGGCGTGGCTTCGTCATAATATTTTTGAGTTATCCTATATATATATATATATAGGATAACCTAATATATATAATATATATATACCTAATGTATATTATATACACCCTGATGTGTTTGTGTGTACACAGACGAATAAAACCTTGTAAGCACTCTTCGTCACATTGATAAGATATAACTGTATAGTAAAAGATACTGAAATAGTGAAATGATTTATTATACTTTTTTGCGAGAGTGTTGCTGCATTTTGCACTGGGCCACCAGCAGGTTTATATAAAGTACGTTGTATATTAACAACTATCAATCGATATAAGATTATTTTTGTCCGGCGTTGTTTGTATAATGATTCGTTTTATGTCTCATCGGAGATTAGACTGTCATCGTCGTTATTGTTTTGACGAGAAACATTCGCGTATTTTTCGACAACATTCACTTTATATTATAATATAATAATAATATGTTTGTCACGTCATGATTCGCCGCAGCATACATTGTAGTTGTGCCAGATCGATTGCGGAATATATTTCGATGATTTATCGAAGGCAACATTTAGGTATCTGGGATAAACTTTTTGTGATTGAATAATATATATATTTCGATGAGATTGTAGCCTTGCCAGCTGCAGTCGGTGACAGTGATCGAACTGCAAGGACAAACCTCTACCAATGTAAAGCAACCAAAGTTGTTTTTTGCATGAAACCCGTGTATAGTTGTAGGCAACTCAGGTTGTAAACATTTGGCTTTTCTCATTTCTACATCTTAAATTACATTGTGTGTAGCGTATCAAAAGCACCGAATCTAGTAAGAATACCATATAATACCATATAATATTGTACCGACGATATAACGCTCCAGAGAAATAAAACTGTTGATGTTTTTGATTTTTTCATTATCATCCTACGCGTTCATAGCTATTACGGTTTGACATTGCATTATATAAATAAAAACACTTTGGTCAGCTGAAACACACAACTGCTTGTGATTTTGGGTTGCCTGAACTGCCTGAAGTAACGAGCTGCTATTCGGATGGCGACAAAAATAATATCATTCCGACGAAAATGAAAAGTTTTTCCTACAGAAAAATTATTTGCCAAACGTGCTCATGCAGCTGAGATTCGATTTAAAATAACAATACGATATAATTGAAAGCGTAATTTTCTTTGTTTTATTTTGCTTTTTCTTCTTTTTTTTTTAATTCGAAACGGTTACAAACATTTATATTGTTGGCAGCAAATATTTAATTTCTATTTCTGCACATAATTTAGCATTTCTCCGATTTTCATAATTGCCTTTGAACTTTAGAATATAAGTCCTACTGACTTTAATTTTAAGCAGAGAAGAAAAGAAAAAAAAAGTTAAAACGCTCGTAGCTTACTATATGTATAGAACCCACAAAAAGTAAAATGTAAGTTTTTATTACATTTTAACAAATTCAGGTATGCCATTTGTTTATTTTTATATTTATATTATGAAATATGCCCAATTACGTCGTCGATAATCTTTTTATGAATAAACAAAAGATGTCCTTATTTCCAATACTTAAGAAAATATACATTAATAATTTATGTTTTATTAATGTCCGTCTTAGTATAAACTCTTTGCAATCTAATATCTTGACAAAAATATAACGAATATGTATAAATTATAATAACATAATATTATGATGCTTGTGTGTAATTCAGTAGTTTTGATACAAATTTTAAAGGTTTGCAGCCATCACTAAAAATAACATCTCGTGACTAGGTACACGATAATAATTCAATTTTGAAGAATAAAACGCACGCAAACGTGTAAGATGTGATAAACATATTTCACTTCTCCGTGTCAAAATAAAAATAATAATAAATACAGTGAAATAAATATCATGCGTTTGTATTGTACGTGTACGAAATAAAACAAAGACGATTATTACACAAAAACTCATAAGTTTCATTATTTTTCACGTCCCGTGACTTTTTAGTCCATTCCTCATTTTAACCGTCTTTTGTTATTACTATCATCATCTCGTGGCCACTAGATGGATTTCATTGTTACAATGGTTAGCGCAAAACACCGTGTATGTGGAACGTACATTATACCGAAAAGATTAGTTGGCTACTATGGAATTTTTAGACTCTGGTTGTATCGGTGGTGATGAATTATAAAAATGTTCAGTTCCATATACGCAATTTCTATATTACTATATACAGCTAATAAACCAAAAAAAGAATACGCGTACATTCATGATGGTGTGCGAACATTTTTCGAAAACTATTCACTACGCTTGGTACTTCATCAATTACGGCTTCGGCTAGTGATCATTTTTATTTTTCAAGTATTATTTTTTGGGTATATGAAGATTGTGGTAACTACTCATAGAGACTGAGATCGAGTTTAGAAGCACAAGTGAACATGATCCATAAATTTTAAAATAATTATATTATAAAAAAAAATGTAAATCAAAAACTATATAGTTATACTCATATTATATATGAGTTTAAAACTAATGTAAAAGCCAATATTATGTAGCTATTATAATATAATAAAATTATGAAATTCGGGTCTAGTAAAAAGTCAAATTTTTATCACCAAAATAATAAATCGTTTGTTGACAATTTAAATACTGAAAATTCGGAGTGAGTGGGTGATGTTTAACTGTTTAATACTGTTCTTTGAAAAAAAAAATAACAAATTTATAAAATATTTATGTATTTTTTTAATATTTTACATTTCAAAATAACTTTCAAAAAAATCTTCAGTTGTGAAAATTTCGAGTAAAAATAATAATTCACCCCTGCAATTGTATTAAAGAAATCAGTTTGGCCTCAACGATAATATATTACATTCTCTTTTTCATCTGTGGGCGAATATCGTTGAAGTCGACGTTGGTTATTCTGAGCAAATATATATACATCATACCTATGTATTTTAAAATAATATGAGTAATGACAGTAATCAATATTATATATAATGTATTATATAATGTACGGTATATAATACGTTCTGGTTCTATATACATATATATATATATATGACGTGTATACTCTATAAATCACTGTGTGTGTATATATATTGTGCGGGTTTCAAGCGTATAGTAATGTTTATTTTCGTTTACTTTTCTTTTTTTTTTTTTTGCGACAAAATAGTGAGGGGGCGATTAAAAGAATAACGCTCCACTTTTTGACATATAACCGCGAAATTTATTACAAGACCCTTTTGTGTTTCACTATTGTTTTGTACATATACAGATACACACATATCTGTATACACTGTACTCACGCGCAGTATACGTACACATAAACATATATCTATACATGTGTAGTATATACCATACCCAAGGCATCTTCTTTGTCGAATAGAAAATTAAGTTGAATGGCTTCCAAGGGAGTGCTCGGACAAAGTTGGTGCGTCACGTGAAAGCACGACGTGGTGCCCATTTGGTTAGTCGTATTATTGTGCTACAGATGAATCCTTTTTCACCGTATTCCTGCAGGACTACGTCCATGAGACTTATCCTTCAGAATTAATTTCAAAAGCTCCAGAAAGAACGTAATCGTACATAATATTGTCTTAGCATTTAAGTGACGTATATTAAAGTCATAGGTACACCTATACCCACCTATAAATGACATAAATGAGTATTAAGTTAATGCCATTGCGTCAGAACAAATTTATTTAAATACGCCCGCAATATATGTAGTTCGGTTTATTTTTAAGAAACCAGAGCTGTATAACGTTTTTAACAATCATGGCGGACCAAAAATGTTATGGTTTTTGAGGAAATATGAAAATATGCAATACCACAGTATTTGAAAAATTTATATTTTTACATAATTCATAAACTAGGTAATGATTTCCAAAAAAAAAAAATGTTTTTGTCCTATATTTTTTAATTGTTTAAATATATAGATTTGTTAAACAAAATAAGGGTGTGCAAAACTAGAATATTATAGAAAGGTATTAGGTACCTCACATGTGTTATGGTATATTATACTATAAACATAATGTAACATTACATATTAATATGGAATTTTTAATATATTGTACCAAAATCGATTAAAACGAAATAATATACTCACTCGTGAGTTCCTACCTATATTTAATAATAAAAAAGTCACTTGAGCTGCAAATACCTATTAACTGGTGTAAAGTGTAAACGTCACACAAGACACCTGGTGATTTTATTTTGATATATAAAACCCCTCTTGGTATTATGGTTATAGGTACACCACGCTTAGAGCCCTTGTCACGAGCTGTCACCTAGGGGTCTCTTCGAGAACTCGTTTGAAAAAAAATACTAACGCATCTGCATCATGTCACCCTAAATTATCTATGTGTTATAAATTGTAGAATTTTTTTTCATTTAAACGATCAGTTGAATTTATTCCTAAAAGACTTGTAAAATAGTTGTAAAATATTTATTGTTTTACTGTACCTATAAAAGTATTTTATAGATACATTCTGTGGTCATAACTTATATTGATGGTAATTATATTTACCTATGTTTTTTTTTACTATACATATTTTCTATTAATAATGTACCTACTGACTTTAGGTCTCTAATATTTAACTAATAATATTATGTTTGTGAATAATATAATATAACTTAAATTGCCTTCACGTTTCTTTTCGTAGGCCATTGGATGTTCGGAGAGATATTCTGCCACATAGTTCCATATGCCCAGGGTACCAGCGTGTACACATCCACTTTAACGCTGACGTCTATTGCCATCGATCGGTTCTTCGTCATCATCTACCCGTTTCAGCCGAGGATGACCATATGGACCACGGCGCAAATAATCGCCACCATATGGATATTCTCGTTGGTAGCCACACTACCATACGGCATTTACATGGCGAACAAGGAGATGTATGGGAAAGATTTTTGCGAGGAGACGTGGCCTCAAGAGACGTTCAGAAAGGTACCTAACTTTTCCATTTTTCAACAACAATAAATTAAATATATATATCAAATGAATAGTTTCAATCATAATGAACTGAATGATGTATTACAATCGGAATAACTTCCTGATCTATCACTGAACGAAGTATATAGTTAGTTGATTTAATAAAATGTTTAGTTATAGTGTCATTGCCATTTACGTATATGGGAATAAGTACACATTTTTTTTATTAATATCACACAATAGTGGTTATATTGTCACTTTAGCAAATTTACCTATAATATTAAAATAAGGAAATATGAAATTAGAAACAATCATTAAGTAATTATTTTGGTGTTATCAACTAAATGTTAACTATTACTACTTATTTTATTTAACTTAACAAACCAAATTCTAATTACATAATTTTACTAATTTTATAAGTAAAGATTACTTTCTATAATATGTACCTATAGTATTTTCATTTCATTAAGTTATGCTATTAATTATGGTAAAATTAATTTGAACTCCAGCTATTAAGTTACTACTTATCACCTAATATGAAGAATTGTATGGTATATATAATACATATCACTATAAACTATAGGTACAAGTGTATTTCGATATTTGGCCCGATTTCTAATGCTGCAGAACAATTCGATACATTATGAAGGTAGTAAATATCGTTCAGGAGAGTTGTATTTGACATTATTTTGGCTAGCGTTTTCGAAGCGTTTTCAATCCGTTAAAAATATTTTTTATACTCAGAACATGAAATATGTGTACTTAACTTTGTTTCATATAAAACAGTAGGCATTATATTAATATCTATTTTGTTTGAAAAAATACTATGGTTTAAAAAACAATTGGTATTTCATTCTTCAAAATCACAAGCTAGTGTTAATCATGATAAATATCACTGAGGAGTGGCCTTATTAGTTATTACTCATATCACAAACTATGTAATTCAGTTTATTTTATTTAAGTAAGTTTAACATGGTTGCTCTGAAAAACAATGTCGTACAATTTTTGCTGTAAATTATTTATACAATAAAATATTCATACAATCGGATTTAAGCATTGAGTAAAAACTCTGATACACTGAAAAATCGAAAACAAATATTTAGGTAAGTCGCTAAACCAACATGACATCGTTCAATAATATTATTTCTTGTTCAAATCTTAATGTTTACAGATATTGAATTTTATCATTTTAACATAGTCTACGGTCGTATCAAAACAACAATGTTTTATTTTGAAACTAGAATAAGATTTTCTATATGATTCGTATATACCAATAATTTTATTAGAACATAAGAATTGAGGCAAACTGGGTTTATTTTTTGTATCGATGAGTGTAGTTGGGTAAGAAACTATAAAATTGGAGTAGTGAACATTTTTATTCGCACAACTAAGCGATAAAATTAAAATATAAACTCTTTTTAAGTTGTAAAGTATACGGGCTATGTGTATTTATACGCGTAACACCATACCACAACGTATGCAATATAATATACTATGTATAGTAATTTAACTAACGTCTCCCAACATAAAAAAAAATATATAATTATTTATGACCCAATGAAAAATGCATATAATATTATTCTGCTTAATATATGTTTTTTTTGATAGACTTGAAACTCAAACTTTAACACCGACAAATTATCACGAAGTGAAAATGTGAAATATGTTTAAAAATAATAATACAAGGAATTTGACGTTTGTAATAAGTAAATTCTCACAAATTTTATAAATGTATATAAATATTTAATCACAGCCACAATCAAATGCGTTATAGTGCATTTTAAAAAGAAAATTAAATATTTCATATTTTCAATGGCTAACATTATTCTTAGAGTTTACGTGTTTAACCTATAACCCAGGGATTGAAACCGTTTCAAATTTTAACGGTTACGGTTTCGGTTTTGAGAACGGTTTTCTACATTTTAATGGATTGGTTTAGGTTCTAAGATCTGTTTTTCTTTTTTTTTGGTTTTGGTTTCGTTTTCAAAAAAGGTTTTTCAAATTTATCGGTATCAAGAAATCAAAAACGGTTTTTGAAAATTTTCGGTTTTGGTTTTTGAAATTTTTTTTTCATTTACCTTAACTACAGACCGGATTTTACATGGGCCCTCACAGGCAGTGGCATATCCGGAGGGGGTGGGGGAGGTTAGGATGTTGTAACCCCTCCGAAAATTTTTAAATTATAACAACGTTATCATTAATAAATCATTTTCAGATAAAATTTGACAAAAATAAATTATAACCCCTCCCGAAAAAAAATCTAAATACGCTACTGCTCACAAGGGCAGGTTCATTGGAGCCCATTATTCTGTTGAAATAATATAAATATACAAATACTCTCTAATACTTTAAAAAAGAAACAATATTTTATTTTTGTATAGACAATTTTGTTGTGTACTCAACAAAATAAATGTAATGTTACAATAATATTTATTATAGTTAAAGTTCATCAATCAAAAGGATTTTTTTTTTATATAATTGTATATAATTTTCGATATATAATCTGCTCAAAGTGGCCTAATGGGAGAAAATAAAAACACTAGACAAGACACAATAAGCAGGGGGAGTGGTACGTGATGGCGGGGTGCATAAAGCAATAAGCTGGCTACTGGTCACCAGCTCTATACGTTTTCGCTTCACATCCAGCAGGCGGACGAGTACAGTCGTCGGAGCGACTGATGCTTGGCGACGACGACGAAAACCGAAAACACTGGGTGAGCAAAGGCAGCTGTTGGTGCTACGGAATCGGCCGGCGACCGGAGACGTGACCCGACCGATTGCCACAGTGCGAAAACGGGAGAGAATCATCGGACCTCACAGCAAAGCACGCCGCAAAGGTCCTGATCCTCTCCACTTGATTTTTGCCCTGACTCGACCTAGTCACCGTCCGGTGGCCGTTCTGGAGTCAAGCATCGTCGTACCCTGAAACGTTATCCGTTTCCACGAGTCCGGCGATGCTGACTTCCATGTTCCTAGCTCAGCCGCATCGCTCGCCCGTTGTGTTTTGCATGTCTCCGCCGCCGAAATAGTTTTTTGCACACATTTAGGCCAAAATGGAAATCTGAATCAAACATATTTGGACAGTTTCAATGTGAATACATGAAAATACAATAAATACGAAAAATACTTAAAATGTCTTTAGTATTATGGATGTGAATAGAGACCAAATTTTCATACATTAGTTACGACAATATTATGAAACAATATCGAGTGTTGAATTATAGGTACCTACTATGTTATAGTATCTGGCTATATTTATAATTTTTCTTATTATTTGTTATTAGACAACTTAACCGGCGTATATGTTCTCAATAGCGAAAATGACACCGACTTAAAGTTCACATGACCTCAGAAATTACATTTTATCTTAACTACTTCTAATACACATGATATACTTAACTGAACAATCACGGAGAATTTATAAAATATTCAGTTAAATTATATGGTTTACCGCCTTTATGTGGTTAGTGTATAAAGTACCTAAATATTTCATGAAATAACAGCATTTCATACTTTAACGCTAACATATATACATCGATGACAAATCAGTGCAATTAATGGAGCTGGATCGGTATATATAGGTACCTACACCGACGCTGATGTACAAAAGAAGAAAGTTTCACGGACGATTTATGTATTTCGCTCGAGGGTCCAAACCGTCAGCGGTGTTACACACAAAGAACTTTTCTCCGAACTTCTACTTACATTTTTTCCCTCTCCTAGAAACTGAATAAAAACCCCAGGCGAATATTAATAACGAAATAAACCTCAATAAGCCGTTTTTATAATAATTGTTTGTGCAAAAAAACAACTTTGACGACAAGACGATAAAAATACACTCAGTTGTCAAGTAGTATTATGATGGCGTGTAACGTCATATCTTATTTACGTACGAAATCTTCAATAAAGACTGCCAAGTCGGAATAGAAAATGTATCACCAATCACGATTCCATGCCATTGTTATTGCATATTTTTTTATATTTTGTTTCAACATTTCCTAAAACGTGCCATGCACTTTAATAATGTTAATATAATCCCCACCTATAATGATATTACATTATACATTATTACGTACCTACATAGGTCCGAGCGCAATAAATCCGGATCCTTACACCAAAATCCGTCCGGTAAGTTTAATCCTGGCCACAGATCGACATCCGAATACCTACCAGCTCTATATTATAAACCACAACGCAGTCCGTCCCTCGCATATAAATAATTATTATTTTAACATTATATCGAATGGAGCATGAATAAAATATAATATACTACCCGGCGCCCAATCGTCGACATCCAATTGATTTATAACGGTGTTGGTCCCACATACCCTCCACTTATAAAAGAGAGTTTAATCACTTTAATGTTTGTTGGAATATTGTGTAAAAAAAATTTAATAATAATATCACAATTAATGAGTATAAGTGAATTGTACCAGGAATTTAATACATTTGCAAGTTTTTTTTGCTACCTTATAGCAAGAAATAATACTATTATAATAATTTTTATTTCAGAAAAATTGTATTCAGCATATTTAAACCTTTAGGATTTGAGAACACGTGTAACTATATTTATTTTAATGACCTAAGCTAACTGATAAAAGCTCATTTTTATATTTAAATAGTTGTATCATAGAAACATGAAAACAAAAGTTTGGTAGCAATATACATTATTTCATTTAAACTTTTTGTAACAATCTACCTACTTCGACAGCTAAATGGATATGCCATTAATTTGAAAAAAAGTTACTTTTAATTAAAATGTAGCATGCTATAAGATATTTTTCCTCTACAAGGAAATTTGAGGATTCATACATTTATTTTTATTGTTGATCTTCGTTTCTTTGGCGATAAAAAAACCTTACACAAAACCGGTTAGGAACATATAGATTAGAAACAAAAGTTGTATATAGTCCCAAAACATATCTATGTTAAAAATGTTATTTTATTATAAAAGTTGTAAGTACTTACTTTTAATATTTTAGTATTTAACATAGGTTTATTTTTTAAATTATTTATTATTTATTAATATTATAAAAAATAAATATATC